TGTTTGATGAATTTCACTTAGTGTGGTAAACATGAATTTTGGCCAAGTGTCTAAATTTTAGTTGATGCATCACAGTAAAACTGCAGCAGTCCTGTCACTAACCATGCAGGTTTCACTTTTTGGGAAATGCCCCCTGCAGCTGAAATATTTTAAGATGTTCTAAGATGTTTTCCTCAATTCAAGCTGGTTCATTTGGTTTGTCAGTTTCTTTTGAGCTTTCTAAAACACCTGTCAACATTAGAAAGCTGGTGTTTTTTGGGTCAGTGAGCTCTGGCTTAAACGTTACAGCTCCATGACTTGGAGGAACAGGCAGAGTCTGCCATCTGGGACGAACTTCAGAGAGGCAGAAGTTCAGGACCGCTGGGTCCTAAAGGAACTCTTCAGCATGCTCTCTCCTGCTCTGAGGGCACACAGGGGGATTTGCCTCTGAGTTAATTGGGCTCAGCGTGGGCCTGCCTGATCCGCTCTCAAATCTGCCCACTTTGGGAGATTTCCTTTGAGCTGGAGTCGTGTGGCCTCGACCTCCTACTGCCCGGCCCAGGGCAGCTGGGGCCTTGAGAATATAAGAGTTCAGTCAGGCCAGTCACCTGCTGACAATTGCCAATTAAAGGTCGGATTTTGAACGGGGTGCTTCTAATACAATGTAAGCATACTATGTCATGCTGTGGCCTGAAAAGTATGTAAGTGTTAACACCTATCCAACAATTTGTTGCTGTCATATCAAAATTGCTTTTTTTCATTTTGTCTTTTTAACTTATTTATTGCCATTTTTACACACATTTTGTGGGCAGTATAGAACAATATAAACATTTTGCAATTCCATCATTTGTATTTGTACTTTAAATTTATTCTTGTATACTTACTTATTTTCTCTAAGACAAAATGCCGGTTGTCCTTTGGACCAAACAGAGTTCTGACTCTTCTGAGTATGCTGTACTTATTTGTGTGCTTATTCATTTTCACTATTTCCTGTAAATTTATAATTAGGTCAAGAAAAACCAAAGCTGATTTTACATAAGCACCAAGCCAGTGGGCCAAGCTCATTTAATGGAGTCTAGTGAATCTAAAATTAGGCAGCAATATTCTTCATATTCCACATGTACAGAGGCAGCATACAGTTTGTTGTAGGTACAGTCACAAAAATTGGGATTCTTCTGCTAAAATTATTTCTTTTGTTCTTTTGTGTAATTAAAAATAAGTTAACACATCTTTTATGGTTAATAAATGTAAATCTGCCACTTTTCTGCATATTTTAGAGTACAATTTAATTATTAATGGACTTAAATGTGCCACTTTTATGTTTTATTTTCTCCCAATATGTTAAATTCAGTAAATAAGCAGTAATTGTGCATTAAAATGTGTAGAAGTGAGTTCTCTGTAGAGGAAGTGGGCACTTATTTTCACATAGGATGCACAAATGTTTGCACATGGCCACAAATTAAAAAATGAGTTAAAATCCATAAAAAAGGGTTTGTCCTTGGGCCAGTGGATTTTCTCACTCTCATAAGTAACTACACAAGTTACCTATTAATTCCATGGTAATTATTTTACGATGATGTAAATTACTTGAATAACTTATTGTAATTGAATTATAAGATAACAGACTTATTTGTAAAATGGCAGTGTTTTATGTAAGCTTGTCACTGTAAGGCTTATAATTCAATTTTACTCATCTACAAATGCTGTTTACATGTTTGTGGAGCCTGTGTGCTCTCTCTGCTGCCCCACCCCATCCTCTAGACCTCTGCTTGTCTCTTGAGAAGGACCACTTTCTTGGCACCACCGAAGCAGTCACTTTGATTTGCACTCTGGTTAAGATGACATTCCACTGGGACAAGCTGATCCCTTTCCCCATTGGTGGATCCGTTCCCTACGGTGTCAGCGTTGTCATGACAAAGAGCCAGAGCTGCTGGTGGCAGGGGAGCAGGACAGGTCCGATGCTGGCGGATCTGTTGTGATGACAACATCCTGTATGGGCCATACACAAGCAGAAACCATCAACAGTCCTGTATTTACAGAAAACCTCACAAACATCTCCTGTCTGGCAGCCTCCTCTGACACGAGCCTAATTAGCTTAAGGTCTGTGTTGACCCTGAGACCAATTCTTTAGTCCATTAAAACGTCAGTGCTATTGACACATTAAATCAATTCTCTGCTGCTTCCCACTGTGACGCGCAACTGCAGCCGTGGTGAAGTAACACAGACTAACATAGGGGTTAGAGCTTTGAACTGCTTTGGTTACAGTCAGTAACTTTATGTAATTGCAGCTCACAGGAATGATGAAGCGCTGAACCAAATAATGGCTTCATTTGATTTGCCTTAATAAATGCAGATCTTATCCTCTTAAACTGCAGGCTTATTATTCAGTTCTTAATCTTTAGACTTATTATTGAGTAACTATTTAGAATTATTCAGTAACTACCATGTGTAGTCATGAGTGAATAGGGCCACATATAGGCCCATGGAATTTAGGCGATATTAAACAAAGGTCTTAAAAATGATTAGCATTTTAATATTATACTATTAATATAATCAAATCTACAGTAGCATGCAAAATTTGTGCACCCCGGTCAGTGTTTTGTTGGTTTTCTATGTGAAAATAAGTACACATCCTCTGCAGGGAACACACTTCTGCACCTTTTAAAGCGCAATTACTGTTTGTTTGCTGAATTTAAAGCTGCACTATGTACATTTTTTTTGTTAAAATGGTAAGAAGTAGCATTACTGAGTCAGGAGAACAAACATCTGTATGTGCTGATGCGAGTCACCCTATAAAGCCTAAAATAATTATCATTGTCACTCACAGGCTCAAAAAGAAGTTCTGCCTCAATGTTTGGGCCTCAAATGCAAAATCAACTTTGAATGTCATTCACCAAGTTTTGACTGAACTCTCTTTGAATACTAATTCAACACAAAATGTAAATCACACATTACCTGCAGCACTTGAAAATATACTGACAGTTAATGAAGTGTTAGGGTTTGTTAGGTGGCTTGGAGTCCTTGTGGGACTTACAGGCCAGTTTTGTTGGCCTAGTGACACCCAGGGGGAAAGAAGTGAGAATAAAGGTCTAACTCTCTGTAGTTCCATGACTCTGAGACTGATACCATACTGTCACGTCTTGACTACTGGCCTGTGTGTTTTTCTCTTCAGAACAGGAGCGTGAGCAAGGATATCCGTATGGGATAAAGCACTGCTTGACCTTGCTCCCCAAGTTTCTTTTTTGTTTCAGAATAAACTTCTGTTGTTTTCAAAACAGCACATGCAACAGTTAATCATGTAAAACATCACACAAAAGAGATAAACCCCAAATAATACCTAATATAATCCCATTTAATATACAGTACATTAGCTAATGACAGTCAACACCAGCAAAATAGTAGGATATTTACTGAAGTGTAAAAACCCTCTGTGTGGACTTCTTGTGATCTAAATCCATGCATTCTTCTCAAAAGTGCTAATGCCAGTTTAGGAGTATTACCTAGACCATTAAAGGAATTTGCATGCTTAAAGTCTGTATTTCAGTAAGTAATTCAAATTTAGCATGATAAAACTGCACATTGTTTCTTATCTAAAATAAATAAGTTTGTCTTCCTACATTACTACATTCATATATCATGTATTGAAATGTTATCCATTTAAGCATGAAATTCTGTTTTGTAGATGTAGCCCAAAACAAAGTTAGCTTGTGAGCGTGCTAGCTATGTTGTCGACTTTTTCTGTGCAGTGGTTTTCTGTACATTAAGAGACTTGGATGTTGTGCTGCCTGATGCAGTCTGGTCCCCATTATAGGCAACATGTTTGCTCTGGTTGGTTTTGGCTGTGGTAGCTCAGTGGTTGAGGATTGTGAGCTTCAATCTCGAGACTACACTGTAAAAAAAGATTTTTTTACTTTAAAAAACAAGTAATCTGGCTGCTTTAAAAAATTAAGTTAATTGAATAGAGGTTCCGCGACCCAGAAGGATAAGTGGTTTAGATGATGTATGTATGTATGTATGAATAGAGGCTAAGCCCTTAAAATCCCTAACTTATTACATACTAAGGCTTATTATTCAGTAACTCCATGGGCTTCAATGCAAACTGGCTGAGCTATTTTTAACTTGTAGAAGTGTATAATAAATCTTTGGGCCCACGGGGAGGTCAGGGGTTATTAGTGACACATTTGGTCCTTTTGGCCACACAGCCCTAGGTATGAAAATAAAATATAGTGTTATGTGTTGTCAGTAAAGAACTGCAAAAGTCTCAAAAAACAGCCTTGAAAACTGTTAAAACTATTTATTCCCGCAGTTATTTAAGTGTGCCCTTGCCTGTAAAAACACTATGTAGCATTAGTATAAATACAAATAAACACAGATTTGTTGAGTTATTCATATGTCGGTTTGACGAATACAGGTAGAAGAGCAAAGATTCAGTTCCTGACTGCTTGATTTACTCCAGTCATTGCATGAATTTGTTAAATTCCATCAGCAGCACATCTGGTTTAATTTAAGCCCTTAAAGGGATGTTAAGTGGTAAACACCTTACAGTGGGTTCAAACTTTTACTACATGCTACATGACAAGATTTAACGTAAGGGGTTAAAAAAGTATTGATTAGCCAAACATTGGATGGTAACTGTAAACACTGGGCTTCCTCGGGGAGAGCTTAGGAAATGTTTAACCTGTACAGCAAATCACAGTGTACTGTTTAATTGTTTGTTTGTATTTACTCTAATATTTGTGTTTTTGTAAATAAATAAATGTTTGCTGCCCAGATAAACAGCTTTACATATTATGCCTGCAAGGTTTGCACAGTGTTGTAGATTTCAAAACATGAATATATTTTAACATATTTTAATATATTAATTTTTAAGATGGACTTTAACATAGGTCTGATCCAGTGCTCTGACCCAAGCGTTATTTATATATTTATGCCAATCTGTCTGAATCTGTCCTTAAGGATGACAGATGTGATGGATGTGTCGGCCAATCACATGATTGTAATTTGCTCATATCTCCCTGCAGGTCCTCCTCGTGTACAAATAATGGGCTGGTGGCTGGAATACAGAGTCAGTACTTTCCCTCAGTGCTGGACCGGGAGTGGCAGTTCTACTGCTGCCGCTACAGCCGCAGGTGCCCCTACTCCTGCTGGTGAGTCTGTCCAGGGGCTTCAAAATATATAAGCTTAATCAGACCAGATTACATGGTACATACATGGTTAATGTACTTTGTGCTTTAATTCTGGCTCATTTAAGGTAATCATAACACACTGCACTTAAAAAAGTGATGCACTGTATTTACCTTGACTCAAATTATTTCCACATGAATAAAACAACCCATTTACTGTCGAGTAAACAAAAAGTAAAGACAAGATTGTGTTGATATATGTTTTATTCATTCACCCTTTGATAATATCTGCATGTGCTCTAAATTGAAACCATCCACATAGTACCAAAATCCTCCCCTTTTGCATCCAACAGGAAGACCACCGATGTTCCAGAATACTACAGGGAAGAGGGCGAAATGGTCATTCCCTCCTATGGCTACTTCATCAGGGGGGCTCAGACCACCTTCAGCGGTGTGCTCAGGTATGCATCAAAGCCATCACAAATTATTTGCAGCCCTTGTTATGGATTTGGCCTCAGGCCTTGTTCATTTAACAGCTCCACAGCCTTCATAAAGTAAATTGCTTTTTGCTCAGTCTGATTGTAATGTTTTACATTGTTGCAGGGATCGGCAGTGGAAGTACATTGTGTGCAGGATGACAGATTTTGATTGTGAATTTCAGAACTTCTGAAGCGACCCCCAAAGTCTGTAAAGCACCAAACTTTTCAAGTGCACCTAGCCATATATACTCTCCCCTCACATTTAATGTACATACAACTTTATAATAAATTACCCAATTCATTCCTTTATCACTTTAAAATTTGTGCACTGTATACATTTTAAGCTCCTATGTCATCATTTTTTCATTGTATGTAATCCTGCATGATTCTGTTCATTTTGCATCTACGGAACTGTGCAAAACTCAGAGACCCTCCCTCATTTTTTAAATCACCATTAAATAAAAGTCATTCATTTCTCTGCGTCAGGAATTCCATTCGTTTTCGGAGACTCATTTAATTTTTTCACAGAAATCAGAGATGTTTATCCACATCTCAAAAGTTCACTCATAAATTGGTTTCATTTTCTGTCTCTCACAATCCAAGTAATCCCAAACACATTCAGAAACACTGAGGTCTGGGGTGATCAGTCCATCTGAGAACATCAGCAGCTTCTATGTTTGATTTGCTAATTTTCTTCTTTTTTGTCTCTTTCTTTTTCTCACTAGAGGCTTGTTGAGAGACTTTTGCACAGTACTGTACATAATCCATGTGACATCAGCATAAAAATGCTAAAATCTGAGAAATTTACATTCAATCATTTCTCTATCTGCATTTTTGCTGATTTTCTTATACACTCTTAATGCCTTTTATCCCAAACTAAGGCCCAATCCCATTTCACCCCTATGATGCCCTAAATGTAATTAAACACCAGCAGCAAGGTTGCTGAATTTTATTGCTCCTCTGTTATCACTGCAGACTGGCAGGGTTGCCTACAGAGCACCGCTAGTAGCTTGTAAATGTAGTAATGTCCTTTTTTATTTGAGGGTTGTCCCATTTCGTAGGGGAAGATTTCAACCACTACCCCTAGTAACTCAGTTCCAAGGGGCAAGGTGACACTCGAAAACAAGGGGTAGGGGTAAAAATAAGAAATGGGATTGGGCCTAAGATTGAGCCTTAGCTTAGACTAAGAAGAATTTCCAGTGGTGGTTCACTACTGGCACTGCAGGTTATGCTAAAACCTGGCTTAATCAATGTTTAGGAATTGACTCTTTATGTAACACTTTATGCAAATATGCCAAAGAAAAATAATGTATATTGCAAAGAAGAAGTAGGCCTGACACCTCTAGCATCCATCTTGGCAAAGATACACCCTAAGCTTTGTTATATTTTGTATCAAATGTTTAAGGTGACTGGAAAAGAACTAATAAAGCAACTTTTTTATTGGAGAGACTGGTTGCTCTGCTGAGCAAAATTACATTTTCTCTTGTTCAGTGAGATCCTCCGTGCACAATGAACCCACTTTACAGGTTCTTTTCTGAGTAAAGCGCTGCAGTATACTTTGGACTTCTGCTGCATTTCATGATACTCACTTATTACTGCAGCAATTATGGCGCATTTAACTCTAACTCTGCTGTGCTGGGTCTGTTTGTGCATGCTTCCTGTGGAGAAATGTGTGTGTGATTTGTGTGTTTCTGCTGACGGATTAAGACGTGCTGCATGTTTGTGTGTGTGAGAGAGAGTCTGAGGGAAAGAGAATTACAGGTTATGCGTGGATGTTTGAGTTTGGAGGACATTCTTAAGCCTGACTACAATAAGTCCCTGACAATATCTAGAGTGTCTCCCTCAGACTCATTGTGTCAATGTTAAAATAAATAGTACTGACATGTAATCAGCAGTATGAAGAAACATTAACTCAAGTTTAATTAAACTTGCCTGTGAGGTGTTGTTGCCCAACATCTGCTAAATAAGGCCTGAGGTAATTCACAGAGGTGGGTAGAATAGACTAAACCCATATTCAATTGAAAGTATTGTTACTTCATTAAAATAATGACTCAGGACAAAGTAGAACAACTTTAGTAGGAACAAAAAAAAAAAGATCAGGTCAAAGAACTCCTGAACTACTGAGTTCCCTATAGAACTGCAGTGGAACATCTTAGTATATTAAACATCTATCAGCATAGGAAGCTTGTTAGGTGCTCTTCTTCCTTTTTTGAGGTCTTTTCTTTTCAGTCTAAAATAAAATGTTAAAGCTCAAAAGTGAGATATGTGAGCAAAGGCAAATGGAAATAGGAATTAAATGTGAAGACCTAGAATGGAACTGAGTAAAAAAACTGGAGGACATTTTCAGAACTGACTCCATAAATCCAAGATTCAAAAAAGCTTTATTGTATTGCCATGTACAAGTGGTGCAAGTGTTGAACTTCTTTATAGTTTTTATCAGTCAGATATTTAAGAACTACAATATAAATGCACTATGTGTCCAAAGGTTTGTAGACACTTCTGCTCATCCAGCATTTTTTCTAAAACAATCGTATTATTAGTGAGTTTGTCTCCTCTTTGCTGCAGCCTCTACTCTTCTGGGAAAGCTTTAAACTAAATGTTGGAACTTGCTGTGAGGATGTGATTGCATTCAACCACAAGAGCACTAGTAAGTTCAGGTACTGATATTGGATGATTAGTTCTGGATCACAAACTCCGCTTCATCTCATCCCAAAGGTATGGTGCTTTATCAATCTAGAGTACACATATCTGCTGTGTTCTGTTGCTCCATATACGAGCTGTGTGTCAGCAATGAGTGCACCTTAAAGAAGCTGATGTGTGGTTAATTTTGGACCTATAATGAACACACATATTAAGGCACTTTACATAGATACATAGCTATATACAGGGTTGGGATGAATTGGAATACAATTATTAGAAATAAGTATTCAGAACACAGAACTGAAAGAAAGTATCTGTATTCAGTTCAAGTTACATTTTGTAAAGGCAGTATTCAGAATATAGTTACTTTTAAGGTTGGGTAAGATTACGTTTTGTGTAATGGAAGTAACATATTAAGAAAACATCTACTAAATGTCAGTAATTTATCAACAGAACATCTTCAAGATATTTACTTCAGTGTATTCAGATGCTTCACTACTGCTACTTCACTGATATGTTATTGATGTGTTACTGATAATCTGTTAAGAGTTTGTTAATCATCTACAAAGGACCACTCCAAATAAAATGTTACAGAAAATACTTTTAGAATACTTACCCACTACATTTAAAAATATGCAACATCTTTAAAGGAAAAACTATCGTTATGCACTAACACTATGTTTGTTTATTAACTACTTTAAATTCAGCATGTGAAGTCCCTGCTAGAGCCTGAGTAGACTGATAAACCAATTTAATGATAAGTTATTAATCTCAGCATTATAAAATGTTTTCCTTCTTTATAGTCAAGTTTGCAAGCTTGTGTTGTTGAGATAAGGCAAATTGTTTGTTTAGTTCATTAGACAGCAGAGGAATTATGGGAGCAGCAGTGAAAGCAGCCGAAATAATGTTGAGAGTTTTAAATAAGCGAATTTTTCATGAAACATATTAACCAAAGCCTTTCATGAAGAAAACTGTCATCATTGACAGTGAGGAACAGTTTGCATTATGTAAAAATTACTGCAGAGATTTCCCTATATGCCTTATCAGTAAGCATTCTAAATGTATTCTCAATGTATTCTGAATATGTCACTTTATTTGTATTGTCACAGAATACATTATGGAATATATTTAGGGCAGTGTATTCACTGTTCAGCCATCACTACTTTTTCAAAGTATTCTGCCCAACTCTACTTGCTATTCAAACAACATATTGGCTAGTGGTACATTGAAAAAAGTGGTGCATTGAATATACTTTGATTCAAATGTGTAGAGAGCGAGGCAAAAAACTAACACAGAGCAAAACTGTAAAAGGGATATTTTATGCAGTTAAACAGGTTCAAGTGGAACATGCTTTTAGTCATGATTTCATATTCCCATAGCAAAATGAGCTGAGCAATTTTGAAAGCAATCAGACAGATAAAGCCCTTGTACACTAATCATATTTGCTTTGATGATTCAGAACTGTCCTAGATGAATTATGTTTTGAATCAGTTTACCAGACTTACCAAAATGTGTTTTGTGTCCCAACCTCCACATGAACATCATTTCCACATGAATAGTGTACAACTGTAACAACAGAGGCATGTAGGTTGCTTACAGGTGCATGATGGCTTTTTTTAATGGGGCAGTCCAGCACTCATAGTCACAACAGCCAGGGGTCAAAACACAGGCAGGCATCATCAGAGATGTAGCCATATTCAAATAACTAGAAGATAAAGCAAGGGTCGAAACAGGAAAGTAGCAAATGGAAACCATGGCTCAGAACTTAGTAGACTTTGAAAACAACTAAACCAAGCCAAAGGGCACATAAAAGGGAGTTAATGAGTCCTAGATCACTTGCAGGTGTGCAAGTGTGGTGTGAGTGGGCAGAGCCAGTGAGAGTCCAAGTGGAATCTCTCTGGGGTCGCAGTATTATGAAATATGGCATACATATTTCAATAAAGTAAAATCAGTGCATGCATTTTTCCATGTACATAAAATTCAATAAACAAATTCAAGCACTTCAGGCTCACTTCTCAGTTCAGGTGCTCTCACTGGTAACCTCTGTGACAAATTGTCCACTTTTTTTTCCAGCTTGTTTGGTGTGGATTGAGCAACGACTCAGTGCTGAGTGCTCTCAGTACAGCAGTGGGAGCCACTGGGTTCAGGCCAATGACTCTCAACACGGTGTATTTATGGAAGCTGTCGGCCATCATAAAGGAACTCGACCTTCCCTGTGTCAATCCACCTCAACAGCGGCAATCAGTGCCCTGCTGCCTCTGCTGTAACTCTGAGGTTTACAGTACAGCCCCAGCGCTGCTTAAAGTGAAGGGGATCCAGCCCGGTCCAACACATTCTCTGCATCCATCACATCATTATTTTCAATCTGCTCCCACCTTTCCCCCCCTCTTTCTCTCTTTGTCTGTTTTAATTATAGGTGGAAGACACACGGGCTGTCAATTGCAAAATGCTATTTAAACAGCAGTGCTGCAATTATGGTTTGTTTGCAGGAATGAGACAGCTGTAAAACCATTTTGCATTCAGTTTTGGAACCTGCCTTCAGTCCATTGTGTAATTATAGGATGAATGTAATTGCAGGCATCATTTAGCTGCAGGAGAAAGCAGGCACATCTAAACTGATGAAAGTTATGAGAAACGTCCAATACAGTGGAAACCAAAATAACATAAAGCATAACTTTAGAACAGCCTGAACAAACAGGAAAGTGGCTTATGGCCTTGCATTCGATTGACTGGATGAAAACCAAACTGCTGCAGTGGATGTGTGTGTGGTCAAGAACAATTTATTGACAGTTTTGTCCAAACACAAATGCCACAAAAACCACAAAATGAGCAGCCAAAATCATTCTTCTGCTTTGTAGGTCCCATATAGGCCTCATCTGTCTTTAATATGAACATGACTCTTCTATCCAATTCTCAGTTCTCAGGATAGAAAGCGTGTCACATGACCTATTAGCCATGGTTCTTAGAGAAGACCTCTCCTGTCAGAACTGTGCTTGAGAGAAACAGGCTACTTCAGAGGCTAATTGGAGATTAGTGCCATGGTTGGAGAATAGATGGCTGAAGTGTCCCTACTGTATTTCTCCAGCAGAAACATTTAATCATTAAAGTAGCATTGTAGAGTAAGTTGTTTGAAAGTTTTTTCCCTGTCCTTGGGTCTGGTAGAAGAGGTCTGTCAGTTTGGCACAGTTTCCTTTCCTTTGTTCACAAGGCAGATGACATTAGCCAAAAAAAAGGAAAAAAAGACATTTCCTTCCTCAGCTCTTTTCACTTAGCCACCACTTTGTTGTTTGTTTCAGCTGACTTCAAAGAGGTCAGAGAGTATTTTTCAAGAAGCTAGCAGTTGGTTTGATTACATGACCTTTTTAATTATGGTTAAGCATTCAAAGAATTTGTTTTTATATGGGTTTGAGCTGTATATTGTGGCAATGTCAGGGACATGGCCAGAGTTTGATAAATGTAGGATATGTTAGGCTAAACTTGGAAAATCTCAGTGGAGCTGGACTGGGTAGAAAGAGAAGGGCCAGCCCGCGGCAGGAGGCCAAACCTCGGACAGACAGCCGCTACAGCCTTTACAGCTGCTACAGGGACAATCATACTTCTAATCAGTGCTGTGAATTTATTTGATCTATATGTTACTCTTAATTACAGTATTACAGTAAAATAATACATCAACACAATTATTGCTATGAAAGTGAGTGAAAGAAAAAATGGTGTTGATGTGACGTGTTATTCAGAGCATACATAGGTGACCTTGTGCATATAGGATGTGTGAGGCATGTGAGGCTTTTCCTGTGACTGTGTAACT